CCTTAGCAACTTTAAGATGGGTGACTTCAAGTCCCAGAATTCCCCAGCCACCTTGCTGGCTGGGGAATTCTGGGACTTGAAGTCCACCCATCTTAAAGTTGCTAAGGTTGAGGAACCCTGCTCTGTAGTAAGGGACTTGAAGTAATTCCAGAAGCCAAACTCTGCATGCTTCCTGACTTTATTTTTTTTGCAGTCTTTTGGTACTCCGAACTCAGTTAAGCGTGAGATACTCGAATCATGGACGGTTCACCTTTTTTTGCATCCTTTACTCATTTTCTTCTTCAATGTGTCTCACAGCCCATCACAATCTACTCCATTCTTATTTCATCATAAGGCATCAAATGTATTGCCACAGAGAGTGCATTTGCCCTCATTTGTGATTTAAACTTTAATTCAGGAAGGATACTCACAAATATCTTTTTACTACAACATACTATCCTCTTGGTTAAACTTCTCAAAAACAATGTCCGGAAAAGTGCATGTATGAAATACATATTAATGCTCAGTTATATTTTGAGAAAAGGATACTGTATACAATAGCCAAATAAGTAAGTAAGATAATGAGGGCCTACGAGTCCATAAGAATAGATCTTACTATCATTCTTTCTGTCGACTATCCTAAGAATTAGGCTTATTTTTCTGGTTCATTATTTACTGTGCTTCGATTTCTTTCAGAAAAAGCCTATAATGTATCCTGCAAGAGGTAGTCTTAAAAAAAAATAACGAAATCTTTTGTTTTAAGTATCACTTCCCTAACGTGATACCTTCCAGAGAGGTAGGATTTCAACTCCATTGTTCCCCAGCCAAAAGACTGAGAATGGAGTTAAAAGTCTAACACACATGGAGACCATCACGACTCGGAAACTTCCATAGGAGTAAGTACATGGAGCGTACTTGCGGCTTGAGGCTTTTTTTCTCTGCAAGCATGGATAAAAATGGGCTGTTGAAGCTGACATCTTACGCGTTTCCATGGAGGTAAAATCCCATAGTGGACTTCTGAGGATGCCTGGGCACTGTATCAAGATGCCCATGAGTAGGCGCTGATCGAGAAAATTAACTGGCGCGCTAGCGAACTCACCCCGTCCCAAGATTTCCAGAGAAGAAAAAGCCTGAAGATAGTTCGGTTGTGCCACAGACAGAGAGACGAGAACAGAGCAACTTTACTGCTTTCCTGGAGTTAAGGGCAACGTGCCTTCACCCTTGGCAATTGCGCATGCTCCGCTTAAGAAGACAACCGCCAGCTAGGGGGAGCCAACTCTGAACAGAGGCTGGTTACACTGAGCCCGTCTTTCCCCCGACCGGTCCATTTATGTTCCTCCCCCTCCTCTGCCTTCGCTCCCCTCCCCCTCTTCCGAATCCTTGAACTTTTCAGTCCTGTTCTGCAGACGGGTGAGTAGCCAGGCGAAAGGTACGAGGGGTGGCGGTTGTTCCTGTTGTTGCGGATGGCGCTGCCGCCGCCTCCTCCTCCTCTTCTTCCTCCTCCTCCGGTCTTCCCATTAGCCCGTTTGCCAAGGCACAAAACGCGGGCGGGGGGGGGAGTCGTCAGGGGAGGATAGCCCCCTCCGCCCATCCGTTGCGGGGAAGGAGCGCCCCAGCCTCTGCCTGCGCAGCCCCTGCGGGCGTCTCAGGTGAAGCTCCTCGGTCAGGGTGCAGGGCTATTAAAAGCAGCAAACAGGCGCCTTTGGACTGGCTACGCAGAGAAATCATTAGGCCAGGTATCGGTTGGCCAACTTGGCTGGTTATGTAAATATCAGTGTGTGGTGTGTGTCTCAGGGGGACAGAGTTAGCTGTAGAGGTAAGGTCAAGTCTCGCAAATCCAGCTCGACCCTTGCTGACTTCATGAACTTCTCCATAAAAAGGGCTGTGCCCTTGCCTCCTTCTAGCTATTCTTCTGGACTTCCCTTTCTGTCCTATAGCCTGGGATTTCTTAGTGGTCTCCCTTTCACCTACTACAAGGACCAACCCATCTTACTGTTTCCAAAGAGCCAGGCTTGATGAGGTGCTTTTCAAGATCAGCCAAGGTCACTTTCCCAACATGTTCATTGGGGGACCCAGCCGTGATTATGCCTAGCCTTGTATCAAAATATCTCCTGGCCCTTTAAAGACTTGATAGTGTCTATTATGGCATAAACTTTTAGAGACTACAGTTCACCTCATCAAGAAACTTATGCCTTAACAAATTTATGACCTTCATTTTTAATGCAACATGAGAATATGGCTATTCCTCTGGAAACTGCTTCACAGGATTGTTGTAACTAAGGAGAAGGAAAACATGAACATGGAAAAAATATGGTAGACATTAGGGCCATGCAACATTTCAGATTTGAAGACAAAAAGGTGCTTCAGAAAATACAGGAACATTCACATAGGAGCAGAGTCTAAAGGAGTCTGATAACACCTTCTCTGTCTAACACATTTTATTAAAAGGCGTAAGCCTCCTGATTTTTCGCCACCATAGCAAAAAAATCTTCTACAATAGCACCAGTCTGCAAGCCCTTATATCAGACATATTGTCGTGGAATTGTGTGGCAGCTGCAGCCCCATAATCCTACCACAAGACACAACTGCTTTAAGGAGTTGCAGAGAATACCCTTTAGAGCTTCAAAGCACTATTTTGCCTTTGAATCCAAAATGCTGCATGATTCTAATAAAGATTATATTAACTAATTACACAAATAAAATATAGGCATTTGCCTGGCACTCTGTAAAGAATTTATCCCTTTATCCATTAGCTAATTGCAAGGTTACTATGAGGACCATAAATCTTGGGATCTTATATTCATTTTGGAGTAGCCAAGATTTCAACATTGTCCAGATTCCAGAATGCCCACCTGGCTAGACATTTATAGGCCAATTCAGGGATTGGAGGAAGGTAGGAAGTTTTTAATTGATTCTATTTCTTGCAGCTGCCATGCCAGCTAAGAGCAATATGTAATTTTTGTTGACCATTTTTAGAAGTTTTCATTATACTAGGTATTACATTGTACTATAACACGTTACAGAAGATCATTAAAGTATAGTATCTTAGATGAGTTTAATATATCACTAAAAAAGCATGTGAGAGATGGATAAAATATGTTATTATTGACAAAGAAATAGTAACTTG